TCATAATTCAAGCTCTGCATACAGATTCAATCAACTGCAGACTATAATATTCCAGGAAAATATCTGTACTAGATTAGCAGAGTCTCTTGTCATTACCTAGAAAACACAGTACATAGAATTTATATTGTATTGGGCATTTTAAGTATCCCAGCGATAACTTAAAGTATACGGGGGGGGGGGGGGATGCATAGGTAATACACGCGCACTAAACCATTTTTACATAAGGGCCTTGAGTACCCATAGATTTTGGCATCTTTGGAGGGGAGAACCTGGAATCATCCCTAACAGATACTAAGATATTGTGTATTCTGGATAAGTCCTTATTGGTCAAGTGGGAGCATTCTTTGAAAACTAGTCACCCTCAAGCAACTAGAAACATTGCTTAGCAACTGGACCAAACTGGGCTGAAGCATAACACAGAACAAAAAAACAAAAGCTCCAAGGCTCTAAGGACAGGGGCCATCTGGAAGGCTGTCAGCAAGAGCTCACTAGGCTCCGAATGGTGGAGCTGAGGGAGGCTCCGGGGGCTGCTTGGGGCAGAGCTTGACAGCAGCAGGCCAGCCGAGGACAAATCAGTCCAACCCACCTAAGTTTCGGGGAAGCTGGCTTTAGGGAGGAGCCCGTGCCGAGGTGAGGCAGAGCGCAGGACGACCAAGACGCCCGCGAGAAGGAAGTAGCCCCACGGGCCCCGCCCACCAAGCCGGCCCTAGCTGACTGACCCGGAAGCGGTTGTGCGTAACGCCGCGCGGTCCTGTTCCCTTTTCCGGTCGGCGTGGTCCTCGAGCGGAGTGTCTTCCGCAGCCGGCCGTTCACCATGAGCGTCCCGGCCTTCATCGACATTAGCGAAGAAGACCAGGTGGGTGCGCGCCGCGGGGACCGCGGGGCGGCGGGGGTGGGGACCTCCGGCAGCGGGAGGCGGGGGCGCGCTCTCCAGCCCGGGTCTCGGCGCGCGCGCGGCCGACGCTCAGGACGCAGGCCTGGTGGGCATCGGGACTCGTTTGAGTCCCCGACGACGACCTAGAATTTTCCGCGGACAGGGCGCGGTGTCGGTGAGGTTCGCGTGTGGTCGGCGTAAGCCGTCCGGGAAGAGCAGCTCTGAGCTGGCATCCGAATGCTGGTCCTTGAGGGCCTGCGTTTTAGGCGGTGACCCGCGCCCGCTGTTCGCACAGCCCCACCTGTCAGCCCCGCGTCTGTGCGGAGAGACGTCCGCACCTGAAGTGGACGAGTCGAGGTTACACCTCGGCATACAGGACAGATGCTTCTCGTTTTCCTCATAACAGAAGTTTAATTGTTTGACATCCTTTTTTTTTTTTTTTTTTAAGTTTTCCGAGACAGGTTTCTCTGTAGCTTTGGAGCCTGGCCTGGAACTCACTCTGTAGCCCAGGCTGGTCTCGAACTCACAGAGATCTGCCTGCCTCTGCCTCCCGAGTGCTGGGATTAAAGGTGTGTGCCACCACCACCCGGCGGAATGACATTCTTTTAATTTTATCGTCTGAAGACGCTCTCGTATTCTTTTGCGTGTGTTGTGTGTGCGCGCGCACATGATGCCCTCTGACAGAAACCTGAGGTTCCATATGTTAAACAGAACGGAGGGAGGTATGCGCACACAGGAAGATACAGAAGAATACAGAGTAGTTGATGGAATGGAGTCGTGTTACCAATAATTGACTAATGTCTATCGAAAGGGTACTTCCCCCCAGGGTCTGTGACTATTGTCGCTGGTCATATTGTACAGTGCTTATGTTTCTGTTGGGTAATGCATGAATTTCACACTAGTCCTTCCTTTCAGGCACATAGTTGGACTGCTACACCATTATGTTCGAGTCCGTTTGACTGGAATTAGTTGTCTGTCTTGGTTTTCCTTATTTCTGTCCCATAGCTGCTTGTGGTCAACAAACATGATATAAAAAAAAGTTAAACTTGATTAATTCTTAGGAAAGGGTTTGTAAAGCAGGAAGTGAACAAAGCTTTTTAAAAATCTTGACTGGATATATATTTGTGTCATAAGGAAGAATTTTCAGAGAGGGTTTCTCAGTGTAACAGCCCTGGCAGCCCTGGAACTCGCTCTGTAAACCATGCTGGCCTCGAATTCACAGAGGTCTTCCTGCCTCTGCTTCCTAAGTGCTGGGATTAAAGGCATGTGCCACAATGCCCAGCCTATACCAACTTTTTATATGAGGTTGCTATGTTATTGTTTGGAAAAATAATGCCATCAGATCTCTGTGATTATTTCCTGAGGTAGCTAAACACATTTGTGGGAATAAAAATATTAGTTATCTCCTCCAAGGTTCTTTTGGCTTTGTCCACTTGTGCATTTTCTGTTTTGCTTTATTTTGTGAGAAGGGTTTCACCATGTAGCCTTGGCTGTCCTGGAACCAATGGAGATCCCCCTGCCTCTGTCTCAAGTGCTGAGACCACAGCTGTGTTTCTACACTCCCTGCCACCTGTGCATTTTCTAGTGAAATTCTTTCCTCTGCTGCTTCCGTTTTTTTATTTTAGTAGATTTAAAAATCATCTGTATGCATGTTTGACTACATGGATGCCAAACCATCAAAGAAAAAAAAACATTATTAAAGATCATAAATAGGGAGTAAAGCAGGAAAAAGTCCAAATTACTTATCTTAGTAATTAGTTGTTTTGATTGGACCAAAAGTTCTTTCTGACCCTAATCAGATCGACTTCTCTGTGGTCCCCATCCCTCCCAGCAGAAATCCCTTGGGTTATGTGAGAAAGCCTTTGCTTCCGACTGGAATTCAGCAGGATGAGGGTGACATGAGACTGGAGATGATCTTGGTGAAGTGTGGCTGCAGGGGCTGGATAGGGGGAGAGGGAATCAACTTGAAGGCGATTAGTTGGCACTTGCATGTTACTTTGGAAACAGGGCAGATGGGTTTGATAGTGTTTTGTTGTGAGTCAGTTTTACAAATGGACATAGAAATTAAGCAATCCTATTTGATTCACAGGCAGCTGAACTTCGTGCTTATTTGAAATCAAAAGGAGCTGAGATCTCAGAAGAGAACTCAGAAGGTGGACTTCATGTAGATTTAGCTCAGATTATTGAAGCCTGTGATGTGTGTCTGAAGGAAGATGATAAAGGTTTGTTTTAATTCTTTGTACAAAATATTTCTTACTAATCATAAGAGAACTTCTTTACCTAAAAATTTTTCTTAGCAGTTATATGCTTTGGTTTGAGACTTTTAAGATTTTTAAGCAGCATGGAAGAGAAAATACAATCAAAATATAGGAAAATATTTTTAAATTAAAGATTTTTCAAGCAGTTGTTTTTAATATAATCTTTTCATATAATTTCAGGTTTTTTTCTGTTAGACCTGTAAAGTAAGCCATTTTGGGGAAACTTTTTTTGAAAGTATATCTGTGTTTCTACACATACTAGTTGTTGATGTTTTAAAATGAACCGAAGAGGTTTGGATAGGCATCAAAGAGGGCATTACTTCAAGTAATAGATAATTGTTGGGCTGCTCCCCATTTATTGAGAACTAGAATTTCTGTACTGTGAGTTCTGAAATCCTTGTTAAGGTTTAGAGATTAAATTTTGTGTGCAGTTAATATCTGTAATACTTGGAAGTGAGTTAACCAGCTAGAAATTTAACAGCCTTTCATTTCTAAGTAATTCTCTATGTGAGGCACAAAGTTTCCTTCCGTTGAGATACCCTGACTTAAAATCCAGCCAGTAATTTCAAGATGATTGGATCCTATGCCAATAAAAACCGTAACAGAAAATAAATGATTATGTAAATCATCACCTGTCTTCTGAGTATTGGCTTTGCAGTGGTGCTGGTGCAGTGTGAACTCATGAATGCTGTATACTTACTGTTCTCCCTGAATCAAGTGTCTTCTCAGACAGTCGCCAAGCTGTAGCGACTGTGCACTGAGACACTAGGAATAACATACTGAACTAGACATGCTGAATGCTGTATCTCTCCTGGCTGTGTTCTTGTTGTCTATGCAGATGTTGAAAGTGTGATGAACAGTGTGGTATCCCTCCTCTTGATCCTGGAACCAGACAAGCAAGAAGCATTGATTGAAAGTCTGTGTGAAAAGCTGGTCAAGTTTCGGGAAGGTGAACGCCCTTCTCTGAGACTGCAACTGTAAGTTTTAAGACTGCAAGAGGAGGCTGGAGATGGCTCTACAGAGGACCTGACTCCAGCTCCCAGGCAGCCAGTACTTCCGGCCTCTTCTGCTACACATACAAATGCACTTTAGAATAATAAAAATAAATCTCTTTTAGAAAAAAAAGCACTCAAAGGGCTGCTTGTATGGCATAAATTGTAATTGTTAAAAGCAGGAAGTTTGGAATTTGACTGTTGGTAGCTTTTGTTAGCAATGTCTTGGGCAGTCTCTTAACTTTCTGTGCCCCAATTCCCTCCTTTGTACTATGAAGTGATTGATAGTGCTGCCTCAGGTTTGTTGTGATGGCCAATAACCTCAGTACTTTGATTGCTGACCTCAGCCATTGTTACGTGTTTGTTAAACCAGGCTCAGCAACCTTTTCCACGGTATGGATAAGAACACTCCTGTAAGATACACAGTGTACTGCAGCCTCATCAAGGTGGCAGCATCGTGTGGGGCCATCCAGTACATCCCAACTGAGCTGGATCAAGTGAGTGTCTTGTGGAGTGCCTATTCGGTTTGTAGGAAATGTAGCTTACTTAGGATGTAAGCTGACATAGTCGCAGCTCTGTGTGTCCTGAACTTTATCTCTGTTTCTCCTTTGGAGAAGTGTGGGGTTGTAGCCTAGGCTGACATCTGACGTGTCGTGTAGTCGGGGATGAGCTTGAACAGATCCTCTTGCCCAGTCTGCCTTCTAAGAGTTTTAAACTGAACATCTGCTGCTCAGTTGTGTTAATAAGTTCTTTCCTTTTGTAAATCTTACTGTAGGTGAGAAAGTGGATTTCCGACTGGAAACTCACCACTGAAAAGAAACACACCCTCTTAAGACTACTTTATGAGGCACTCGTGGATTGTAAGAAAAGGTATGCAGAGTACTGCACTTATGATCTCTCCAGCTATTTAAGTAGGCGGGGACATTTCTTGACAAGTTGATCGAGTAGTTCTTTGTTCTTCACAGTCATCAGAATTCTATTTCTTAGATTTTTAGCTACTAAGTTAAAAGATAATTGCAAAGGCTGACTGGGTCAGAGGCTGGAGATAGAGCCTAATTAGTAGAGTGCTTGCACAGGTGAAGCCCAGACTTCCATACCCAGAAACACTTGGGCCAGGGGTGGTGTGTGCCTCTGGTTCTGGCAGTGGGTATTCTACTCCATGCTGCCCTGCTGTGACAGCATTTTTAACCCCTTGTCAATAAAGGGTTGAGAGGACCATTTCAGATGGAGTGCTTCTCCTCTGTACGAGGGCGGGTGTGTATTTCAGTGTTCAGGCTGTAGAGTCAGGTCTCTGGACCTTGAGCTCACCTCTTGCATGACCCTGAATAGAATAGACTGTAGAGTCAGGTCTCTGGACCTTGAGCTCACCTTTTGCATGACCCTGAATAGAATAGACTGTAGAGTCAGGTCTCTGGACCTTGAGCTCACCTCTTGCATGACCCTGAGTAGAATAGACTGCTTAGTGTAGCTCTAGTACTTCAAAGTGGAAAGAGTACTACTACTCCTTACCTTGGGTCGTTAAGGACATCACAGATGGGGTTTTAAAGGCTTCGTTACTAAGCAAACACTGGTTAGTGTTAAATGTGACTATCTTTCCCTGTTATACTTTGCATTTTAAAATTCTCCTTTAGGAGTTGAGTTGATTTTTTTTTTTTTATAACACAGTGGTTTTAGGTTGATGGGTGTTGTGATTGTCTGTGAATGTCAGGTGCATGGTGGAGTTGATAATTCCACTCTGGAAAATTTATTATCATTATTGCTTGTTTGGCTCTTAGTCTGTTATGTATTGAAAGGAAATAATTGAATTCCACAGCTTTCCCAGAGAAATAAAGGTAGGTCAGTGACATCTACCAGGGCTACTGGACATGTCCTGGTGTTAGCTATTAGAATATACTTCACTACTGAATACTTTCTCTTTAAAATAAATGTCCTGGTGTTAGCTATTAGAATATACTTCACTACTGAATACTTTCTCTTTAAAATAAATAAATAAATAAATAAACTAACTAACTTCAGTGTGTGTGTTTTATTTTTATGTGTAGAGATGTTTTGTCTGCACATCACACGTGCAGTTTAATGACTGATCCTAGTTAGCTAGCCCGTTTATGTCCTGTCATGTGGTACATTTTGTTTTAAAGATTTATTTATTTATTCTGTATACTGTGATCCATCTGCAGGCCAGAAGAGGGCACCAGATCTCATTACAGATGGTTATAAACCACCATGAGGTTGCTGGGAATTGAACTCGGTACTCGGTGCCTTTGGAAGAGCAGACAATGCTCTAAATCACTGAGCCATCTCTCTAGCCTCTATGCTGTGCATTTTAAATTGAGTATTTGGTTTTTAATAAAAAGACTTGTTTAGTCAAGATGTACTAGATCTTATACTGTGGTTGCTGGAAGACATGGTGTGCCTGGGATGGAGAATAAGACAATTAACTATGACTAGTCCATGAGGTTTCTTACTGTTTTCCTTTGGATTTTTATAATTCACCTCTGTGTTTAAGATGTTAAGGGCCATATAACTATGCCTAGTAAACAGTTCCTGCTGTGCTTCTCAGGCTGAATGCAGATAGAAAGGGGAAACCTAGTCTTTCTCAGCTTAGCAATAATGAAGATCACCAATTAAAGGAAGTAAGAAAGGCAAAGGTAAATGTTGGGTTTGTTTGCTTGATGTTTGGAGGTACTGGGACTATAGACCCAGAGCCTCTCACAAGCACTCAGCCACTGAGCTACATCCCCAGGCAAGAGAAGCATTTTATAAGCATCCAAGTTGAATAAATGGATTCAATTATTCTATCCCTTTTATAATAGTAAGAATTGACCATCCACATAATTTTAAGGATAATTTAAATTGGAAAGCTATTTTAAGCAGTGATTTAAATGCCTGATGTTGGCTCAAGAGTCACACTGTCCTAACAGCTTACCTTGAGCCTTTTTTACTCACCTCTTCTTTGCCAGGCAAATCAACCTGCCCTGCCTTCCACCTTGTTTCTTGGCAAAGACTAGAATGTAAAGGGAGATTTCCTATTTGGGGACCTCAGCTTGCCTGTCATACCTTGAGAACAGCCATTTTCATCACTGTTTTATATATGCATAAGATCTACAGAGGATGAATGACCAATAAAATTCAGACCAGTGAAATGATGGCTTTTTTTTTTTTTTTTTTTTTTTTAAGTGATGCTGCATCAAAGGTCATGGTGGAATTGCTTGGGAGTTATACAGAAGACAATGCTTCCCAGGCTCGAGTTGATGCCCACAGGTAACATTGAGCATTGCTTGGGTGAGCTACAGAATTCAGCTCAGTAATTGACATAATTTCTGCACCTGCCAGCAGACCAGGGTAGTTGGTAGCACATTAAGGATTGACAGTACATGTGAAATAGCCGCTTGGTGTTACTGTACAGGCTGTGCTGTTTATGGCTAATAAGCACAGCCAAAGAATTAAAACTCACTCTGACCTCAGTTTCTCTGAATAAGGTTTGTAGATAGGGAAAAGTTTGCTTGGCAAAATTTAACCAGTTGTTAATGAGAAAATAAGGATTTTCATAGTCCTAGATTTAACATAACAGTGAGGCTAGATTTAGATTTTTAGGAAATTTCCATGTAGGGTTATTACTGCCCATGGACTTGGACACAGCAGGGGTTGACACGCAGAGAGATAATGGCAGAGGCCCTACTTTGAGAATATCAGTGTTTAAACTTTCACTCCAGATCTTAATTTGTATTTACAAGATGAGTTTCTTGTTTCTCTGAGTATCTTTCATGATCTCTAATATGGTCATGAGAATGGTCTGTTAGGTTGTTTTAAGGGTGAGTGGTCATGACAGCAGTCTATAAGGGTGAATGAGATGTGACACCTGTGAGCTCCTGCTGTTGCATTACAGGTAACCAAGCACACCTCAATAAAAAGATACCGGTTTTAACCCAAATTTGCATCTTTTGCTTTTGGATATTGAACTCTTAATTTACTGAATTAAATAAATCTTCTGATATGCAAAGTAGTCAGAAACAAGCTAAGATTTCAAGGCCCAGCTTACTTTTTGTTTTCTTATCAAGGTGTATTGTGCGGGCACTAAAGGATCCAAATGCCTTTCTTTTTGATCATCTTCTTACTCTAAAGCCAGTCAAGTTTTTGGAAGGCGAGCTTATCCATGATGTAAGTAGTTTGTCCTTTGGTGTGACTAGTGTTCTCTCTGCAGTCTTACATAGTAAAGCAGAAGTCCCCCTTTGTATGGAATTCATGCAGCAGAGACCCTACCCTCTGTGGGGAACAGACTGGTATTAATTAGGATTGGGGTCAGCTTTATCTACTTGAATACTGTTCCTGTATCTTCTTTCTTGGTCTAGACATGTTGAACTTGACTAAAACACGTTTTTTTTTTTATTGCTTAATATCACTGCCCCAAATTAAGATAAAAAAAAAAAAAAAAAAAAAAAAAAAAAAAAAAAAAACAAGAATAGCCAGTCTTGGTCCCAGCATTTGGGAGAACAAATATAGCAAGACATTCTGTTAGAAACAAAACCAAAGAATAGTTCTGAAGTGCAGCTAGTTTTGTGCATTGTTTTCCATTTGATCTAGGTAGTTTAGTGCTCACTGTACTTCCTTATTGGGTGATTATTTTTATTTTTTAAATGAACTAGTTGGGTGGTTGGGCATTAACTTAAACATGGAGAATTATTGTTAGAAATTAGTGTCTTAAAATCTGAATGTACATCTAGCTTCTGTCTTGATACAATTTTGTCTCTTATCTCTAGTTATTAACCATTTTTGTGAGTGCTAAATTGGCATCGTATGTCAAATTCTATCAGAATAATAAAGACTTCATTGATTCACTTGGTAAGTGTTGGGTTTTGATTGTTGGGGTTTGTTTCTTTGTTTTGCGGGGAAGACAGGAATGATCCTGAGCCATTACACCTTATTTTAAAAGCTGGTAAGACTTGACGAAGAAAGACTAATGGTTAAGATTGATTTTTATTATTATTTGGAATGTTTGATGGTGTGTAAAGAATAATGTAGTTGCAGAATTGTATCAGCCCGGGGCCCCTTTTAGTAAAAAACATTCAAGGTAGTGATATTTTGTTTGTAATCTAACAAATAAAGCTTGCCTGAAGATCAGAGTGTAGAGCTAAGCCACTAGTTAGCCATAGAGGCCAGGCCACTTGGCATACACCTTTAATCCTAGCACTTGGAAAATAGAGGCAGACGCATCTCTGTTATTTCAAAGCCACCCTGAGCTACATGGGATTGAATCTGTCTGAAAGACAAACAGAACTCACACAAAGGTGATCGATCAATCCCAACACTTTTGATTTCATGCCTTCAGCACTTGGGATCCCACTCCTTTAATCCCAGCACTAGGGAGCTGAAGACAAGGGTGACATGGCTAAGTGGAGAGAGGAATATAAAGCAGGAGGAGACAGGAGCTCAAATGCAGTCTGAGGATTTGTAGAGATGGATGCCAAAGGAGCATTCAGTCTCAGGGAGGGACTTGTCTGAGGTTTCAGAGAGATAGCGTTCAGTCTGAGGATTTATAGAGACAGGATTGCCCCCTCAGTCTGAGGATTGTTAGAGGTAAGAACTCTCTAGTGACTGACTGCTCTGTTGTCTGAGCTTTCAGCTTTCACTGCGATAGCTGATTCCAAGTTTTTATTATTAAGAACAATTAGAATTAGTGCTACATCTGGTGCCCAACGTGGAGTTTGATCCCACGACCCTGAGATTAAAAGTCTTATGCTCTACTGACCGAGCTAGTGGGGCTACAATTAAATATATGGTTGACTCCACTGCCAATGGATGTGTAGTGATATTTGCATAGTAATAAAAGCTCTGAACTATATTTTGAAGACAGCATAAGAAATCTGATTTTATCTTTGGTGTTTTTGTTTGGTTTTAAATAGTTTTCTATTCGTATTAAAATTTTAGTTACTGATGTGCGTGTCTGTGTACATACATGTATAATGTCAAAAGAAACTTGGAGGAGTCTGCTTTCTCCTACTGTGTGTGTCCCAGGCATCAAACTTGGGTTGTTAGGCTTGATGGCAAGTGTCTTTCCTAGCCAAGCCATTTCTCCAGTCTTTGAATGGGTTTTAAATATTCTAAAACTCATAGGTTTTGTAAGTCAACTGAAATAAAGGGAGTTTATTTTCCTGGTGGGCAGCAATTAAAAGACAGTAGAGGTTGATTTGTGTTTCATATTAAAATGGAATCATTAGCCTTATGTGAGATGTAGATACTGAAGAGGACTATTGGAATTTACGTGACTAAACTCATTTTGTAGTTTGGTTAGCCTTAATTCCCAACACCTGTACATTCTGTACAGCTGTTGGTTTGGGGGAAGGTTAACTCACTTGAACATATGGCATTTGAAATACACCAAGATTAAAGAGATGCATGAGTGTCTGTGCTGAATACTTTGCCAGGTGCACTAGACCCAGAAAACCATATTCTGTCCCAGTTAATTTGCTTTGTGGCATGAAGCTGTGTGATGGAATGTTAATGTCAGCAACCTCTTTATTTACGCACCAAGGCAAAAGGAGTAGTAATTAACACTTTGACACTCCCCCATCCATGTGTAATTGACTGTTTCAAAGGAGCACTGGTTCATAAGCTATTGCATGCATTAAAACTGCGTTTTCTATATTGCAGCATTTTAAGACAAGGGTCAGTGACAATGCAGAAATTGCTCAATGATGCACATTTTTTTATTACTGCATTAAGGTTTTGACATATTAGTAATGAATAAATGTTTCCATAAAATTAGATTTTTTTATAACTTTAAAATTGAAATACGATGGAGAGCCCTGAGCCTTCCTCTAGGAAGGGAGCCCAGTTCATGAACCAAAGCGCTGCTGCCTTCAGATCTGTAACTCAAGCTTCATCTATGTAATAGTTTGCTTTTTCAGAACTGTACAGGCTATACATTTGGTTCCTTGTTTATAAAAGTAATGGCCATAAATGTGACTTGTTTTTTAGACAAAAAAACCGATTTCATGCAATTCATTCCAGGAAT